TTGCAAAAAAAGATTGATAATTAGAAGTCTATTAGATGATTTAAATGCACATAGAGCCACATGAGAGGTTTTGTTCGGAGATTGGACACTAAATAAAACAAATTGAAGGGTAACGTGTAGACTCTGACTGCATTGTAATCAGCTGTTATCAAGTTTTAATTGACAGGAAGGTTCAGAGGCAACATTTTTAAATTTTTTTATTATTCTCATGAGAACTTTTTGTATATACACATGTGTATTTTCAACTTAAATTAACGTTTTTTCATCAATGTGTGAATGTGTGTGTGTGTACTATAATTATAAAGTTGGATTCGAGTATAATGCATATTGTAGAAAAATATACATATGCATACATACAATACAATTTCTTAATTCGAAAGGTAAGAGTAGGCAACAAGGAGGTTATGGTGCATAAAAATTTGATTTAAATGGACATCAAATGAACTGTAGACAGATATAACATAAGTAAGCATACTGATACACACATATGTATACAATATAACGTGCTTATACATGCATGTGAAGAACAAAAGTTATTAATGTGGACAAAAGAGAAACAAGAGAATGTTTAAATAAGATTTTTATGTCCTGGCCTTATGGGGAATGCATTTCAAGTTTTGCCAAAAAATTGCAATGCTCTGCAATCATCAATTTTTGTTTCGATTTTTAAACCGAAAGATTTCAGTGGAATAATTTAGCAAATGTATGTATGGGCGGCGTGATGTGATGGCTCAATGGTTAAACGCGCCTGGTCTTGCTGTTGCAATGACTGGGTTCGAATGCAAAGAGGTCCCCGCCTATCTTATGCAATGTGCATGATGCGTGGTTTTCACGCGTATTCATATACGCTGTTTGTGTTTGTCATTGAAACCTCTGAAGCAAACGCACAAGAGAGAGTATACTTTAACCTTTATTTATTAGGAACAATTTGTTAGCGCTAATTAAAACTGTTTCATGAGCTCTCACATTAAAAATTAAAAAAGTCACAATTTTCACAGTTTAACAAAAATTAAAAAATGTTTTCAATGTTTTCTTAAATAATTCCAATGAAAGTCCAGATCTTCTCAACGCCGGTAGAAGTCTATTTCGAAAAAAGGGACCAGCAACTTTAATGTCTCTTGAACTAATTTGCAAACGTGTAACCGGCCCAGAGAGCGGATTCTAATTATCCGACCTGAAATGAAAAGTCGATGTAGCTTTTTTTGTCATAAGTTCTAGTGACACACCATTCAAAGATTTTAATATAAGAACTGCAATTTTGAAGACTACTCTTTTATTTATTGTCGGCCATTGAAGCTCGTTCAAGGTCGGCGTCACATGATCAAATCTTAGGCTACCAATAACAAGTTTCCCAGTTCTCTTTAGTACACACCGAACGATTGAGGACTGCTGACTAGTATGTATATATGTATGCATGCATGTGTGTGTGTGTGTGTGTGTGTGTGTGTATGTATGTATGTATGTGTGCGTGTGTGGTGTGTGCGTGTGTGTGTGTTTTCATGTAAGGGTATATGCGGAAACCATGACATGGATCAATGACTGAATTCATGAACAACTGAATGACCATGCAAACAAGAAATAAATTTGTCAAAAATCTCTTGTCGAACTATGCCGTGCTTATGAACTTTTTGTTTTCAACCTCTATGAAATTTTTTTAATTTTATCAAAAAAAAAAAAATTTGACTATAAAGCTGCCGCCAGAATTTGATAAAAAAAATTTAATGATTTTTTTTCCTGCAGAAATTTTTAATTTTTTTTTGTAATTTAAACTTTCTACCAAGTTTGCGAAAATTCATAAACATGAAAGAATGTTATCTGCCTTTATTTAAATGCGGTGGCAGGTAATCTTCAAACATTTTATTATCATAGCATGAATAAATAAATTGTTTTAAAAGGTTCACAAAGAAAGATTGGTAAAAAGTCCAAACGAAAAATTTTTCGTACAAGATGTTTAAACAAATATAAAAAAACTCATTAAGCTCACTTTTACAAAACTTGCAGAAAATCCAATTGAAGGAGTAAAAATTTTCAGATATGTCAAGAAGCAAAACAAATAATTGATGCTGTGTCAAAAAATTCTGTATAAGATGAAAATGATGCAATCAATTTAGTGCCTGCGTAGGCAGATTTGTTTTGAACCATGTTAAACAGCTGAGTCTGTGTTAAAAATATCATATAAGCATCTTGGCATACACAGAATTAAATTTTTCATTTGAATGTGCTAAAAGTATAAATATTAATATCAATCCAAAAAACCAATTCAGTCCGATGATTGTTGACAAAATAATTTTTTGAAATTGTTATTTGAAATTTAATGGAAAAAGAAGACAAATAAGGAAGTAAAAAAAATGTAAAGTTTAATCTGGCACTAAGAAGTGGATTCCATCTTGAAACACCATGAGTTTTATTAATCTTCATACACCAGAAGAACCATTCACAAAAGTAATGCAAAAGTTATATGATGACAAAAGAAAATGATTTGGTCTGGAGTTGACGTTGGAAAATAAGTGTTGAGAATTGCCGACTCATCTGGGAGTTTCCTTGCATTGCCATTTCATGGCTGATGATTACACACCAATTTGAATAATTTCAAGTTTTCTTGATTTGATTTAGTAACTGTTAATAATTTAGTAACTAAGAAATGTGAATTGTTTTAGGATATGTATATATGGTTTGTCATGAAAATAAAGGATTTTTTAAATTTTTAAATGAATTGAAAAATTATTATTAATATGTTATTATGTTATTCACTCTATCGACATTCTACTGAGGATTGTTGGATATATAAAATTCAGAGAATTGTTGATTATGTAAAATTGGGATCTGAAATACTAAAAAGTTGCTTTAACATTTTATTGAAAAGCCTAAAATGTTGAAAAATTGATGAGAAATAAATTAGAATGAATATTTTTTAATTTTCATATTTCTTAGTTTATTAAACCAACTCAAAAGAAATATAGGCAATTAAAATTTGGCCGCGCTTATAAACTTTCTCGTCTGTAACATCTAAAAAACATTTCGTTAAAGTTTTTAAAAACACGTCTAAAAATTTTTTGGACATAAGTCAGACAAACAAATTTATTAATTACAGTAACATGTTGTATGGTAATAGTGATAATAATGATGACGATAGTGATAATAATGACAAAAATGACATCGATGATGATGATGAAACTAAAGAAAAACTGGAAAAAGACAGCAAAGACCGGATAGACAGAGAAATAATTAAATAAAAAATTGTTTGCGAAACCATTTAGAAGAAAAAATTTCATGTATACAAACAAACTGATGGTTAACTTATAACGAATTAGTTTAGTAAACTACTACTACTACCACTATTAATAATATAAAAATAATAGTTGTAATCTAATTGTTGTGTCTATTTCGTTCAAACAGACAGCAACAACAGACAGACAACATTTTGGATACTCCTATTACAAATCACTCAACTAAAAATTCACTTTATTTACTACGATATAATCACGCAATTATCAATTATCTACCCACACGACCAATAGGATACCAAGTTGATTGTCACGTGATTTGATGAATGAGCCAATCAGCCGTTGACACGTTCCGAGATTTGACCGGGTCCAGCTTAGCACTCGGAACTTTTAATGTGGATTTGATGATGTGGTCCTCCATCTGGCGATGGTAGGCTGATTTTTATTTGCAGCGCTACTAATGCACAATGTACTCGCATTGCAGGTGGAAACTTTTGGCGTATGTGATCTAGGTGTTCATGTGGTATGGGAAATGTACAAAAGTGTTATTTGCCCGTTCATATGTGTCTACCATGTGTATTACATACGCGTGTGTGTCTGTTGTGTGTGTCTGTTTTATAGTCTGAGTTTTGTGTATGAACTCTTTAGAATTTTGTTTTTGTTTGTGGGATTCTGTTTGCTTTTTGTGATTGTGTATGTAAAGGCATGATGGTTAGGTTTGATGCAAAAACTACGTTTGCCTGAATTCATTTTACTTTTATTAATTACACTCAAAACTTAACGAAGATTGTTTGATCAATGAAAGTTAAGCGTAGCAAACTTTCTGTGCTAAATAATCAACGTTAACAAGCATACATATTAAATAATTAAACGAGAGATCAAAATATTACTAAATGAACTGTAAACTCTTAGAAATATGCTTACGTACTAATAAATAAATAAGATAAACTTCCCAAAAGGGGTATTACAGCAAAACACATTCAGAAATGCAATATACTTATAATCTTTTTTAATCCATCTATTTTCTTGTAGTGACTCGTGGAGGCTGACAAACACAGACGGACAGACAGACAGAAAATAAAGACAGACACGTATGTAAAAAGAGAAACAGAGCGACAACTCACGAAGCAAATAAAAAACAACAGCAGTTGATTGATGCCAGCCTCATGCAGTTTATGAGATGGAATATTGATGACATATTAACCGAACTTATAAAAAATGGCTTCTGTATAACTAGTAACCATCTAATGCAACGTCACCGATGCGTGTATCACAGACTCTACGTGACTAACTATCATTAGTTGTCTGTAGGTGGTGTTGTATGTATGTGTGCGTGTGTGTGCGTGCGTGTATGTGCTTGCGTCTATATATGTGTCCGTGTGTCTATACATGTGTAAGCGTGTTTTATATGTGTATATCTGTGTTTTGTTTTGATGAAATTTTACAAAACTATTAAATGAAAAATATTGATTTTGTTTTGATAATTTTTGAAATATTTTGTTCTTAAATTTATTTTTTATAGTTTCACAATTTAAAAATTTTAATTGTTCTAAAACATCATACCTTCAACACGCAACTTTATTTTCAATTGAAACAAAAATTTTAAATGTTTTTTCAATTTAAAAAAATTAAAAAAATTGATTATTTAGCATCTTCATATGAAAGATTTAGTCATAAATTGTTACATTATGAGTCTACGATTGAACTATAGCACTCCTCATACATCTATTGGGAGTATTATCTTGCAAAGATGGTAGCTTAAGACATTTTCTCAATTCATTGAGATCGGAGATGAACCCAAGCGTGGATACCTCCCATGAAAAGAAATAAGAAGAAATATTTGTTGGCTTTGTTTAAATGTTCAGTTTTTAACAATTTACATAGCGCTTGTCGGCGATCGTTTATTTTTATGAAATCATCAACTTTTATATTTTTATCGTTTGTGTCGGACCATATATAAATAATAAACTCATGACTGCTGTTTCTCATCGAAAAAAATGTTGACATCCTAAGTTGTTCTGATATCACTTTGAAAGTTGGAATATCTAAACCGCCTTGAAGCTTATGGAAGGCCATAAGCTTCAAGGTCTCTTTAGCACACGCACCTATTGGTAGATTCAGTCACACTTTCACAAGCTCCGTGCTTTTTAAATCCAGAGTTTGGTCAATCCAAGTGAAACATAAATCATACGACTTCAACTCAACTTACGGACTGATCTAATTTTTTGGAAATGCTTCGAAATAGAATAATTTGTAAATTTTTTTTTAATTAACTGAAATCTACAAAATTTATCAAAGTTTTAGTTAAATTTTTAGGACTAATAAACGAATTAAAAACTTAACAATTATTACAAAAGCAATGAACAAGCGTCTAGCTTGTGCTCAGCTCATGCCATAGAAAATAATAATAGTTATGATTATGATTGTAATAATAATAATACAAACTGAAATTACAATAATATAATAATAGGAAAAAAATTTAAAAAAATTTAATTAATGAAACAAGGTAAAAAATTAAAAGAAACAATCCCACTGAACTAACCGACTCTGACAGTGCAGACGGGTTGTTGCTGGTTCTTCTTCAGACTCTCATGCTTGTTCACTTCGGCAGTGTTGTTATTTATTACATTCGTGCCGTCTGCTCGTTGCCTTTGTTGTTGTTGTTGGCTTTTTTTGTTGCAAATGACGTCACGCCGCATCATTAGACACGTGATCAGAACGATAAAGTATTTTGAGTGATGCATGTTTGTTTGTGTTGATGTTTAGTTTTGTTCAGTTCCAATTTTAAATATATATATAATTGAGATTTTAATTAATTTTTCGACGTAGTTTTATTATTATTACAATTATTATTATTTATTATTGAATAGATTTGGCTGATAAGATAATCTCGTTGTTTTGCAGTTGTTAACATGGAGAGTATTGATAGGAAAAACAACGAAAAAGAAGGATGGCGAGTTTGCTGATGCCTATGGGGTTGTTACGCTGGCAATAACGTGTGCTTTACAAGGCACTCATCTCTCAAGTCTGTTTACACTGCTCTGGAAATAGAAAGTAAGATGATTATAGAGTACCACTGGCTGTGATTTCTATAATTTTATCGTGTTAGCTCGTGTGGTTTATAATCAGAAAAGTAGTTTCTGGTGTTAAAATATAAAATCAATTAAAATAAACTGAAACATTCGTTCGATCAAATAAATTGTTAATAATAACAATAACTGAAAAAATATATAATTCTTAAATTTGAATAAAATAATTTCATTTATTTTAAAATTCAACATTTAAAAACTCGTTCAAATGTGTGGTTGTGAATGAATGAACTCTTTTTCATCCCCTCTTTTATAGCTGGAGTCTTCGTGGCCTCCATGCATTAGCTCCATACACACTGCTTTATAAACGCGTCTTTATACTAACTCGCATATATATATATATATATATATATATACATATAAATATATATATATAAATATATATATATATATATATATGTATATATATAGAAAGAGAGAGAGAGAGAAAGAGAGAGAGAGAGAAAAAGAGAGAATGAAAAAATGAAAAGATGGATTTTCAGTTAGAAAATGTTATTGAATTTAATAGTTTTAATATTCTTGTTTTTAATCTGTTAATTATTTAAATCAGTACAAATGATAACTCAGTATTTTACAATGTTTGCAATACAATAGCAACAACTGAACGTGAAAACAATGCAAAAATAACATTTCATATTTTAGTTTCTTGATCGATAGCAGATATCCTCAAAACATCTCTTATTATATTAGATTATAATTTGTAACATAAGTTTTAGAATTAATAAAACCATTACATTCTTATGTAACAACTGGTACAATTTCCGAATGTTATTGCATCTGTAACGAATGACGGACACAGATGTTCAAACGCACCGTTACGAGAATTATTTACAAATATTCCTCATTTATCTTCTTTTCCTGATTAGGTTTTTTTTATCAAAAATTGTCAATACGTCTTGTTTTGGCGTTTTCGAATTTGTGGGTTTTTTGTGAAATACTATTGTTTAAAATTTCTTAGTGTTTATATAAACTTAGCGTAGAATTGAATTAAATAACATTATTTAAACAATTGAAGAAAGATTTTTGAATTTTTTAAATGATACCCAACAACAATTAATAGTTTGTGTCCGAGTTTTAGGCATCTAACAGCCTGCACGTATCAAACACACACACACGCACACACACACACACACACACACAAGCACACACAAGCACGCACACACACATACACACAGACAAAGTAAAAAACGAGCATCCAACGAATGCGAATGCATAACAAATGAATGGCGTGGACGACTCAATTAGGTTCGTATTGTTAATATTAGTGATGTACTTAACGAATCGTTGGCGAGATGTCGCTATCAATAATGTGACGTGCGCATGATAACGGATATGACGTCAAGTAGCCTCTGCTACCCATGCGCGATGTATTAGCGATATTAATGTCATCTATTTTACTGCACGGCAGAGTCAGCCAACTCAGCGAAAACAACTATTTTTGTTTAGAGCACTCGAATTTTTCGGGCGAGATTATGGGATGTGAGTATTTCAAACGTAGTTATCAATTTTGTTTACGTATGAAAAATTACTGCATAACTGCAAATAACGAAAAGAAAAAACATGAAAAAAATACCCAAAAAAGCATAGCTCCTGTTCAAACAAAACATCGTAAGGGAAAACAGAAAAAATAAAAAATTTCTCATAGATTCAACAAAATTATAATTAAACAAACAAAAATCGTAACAAAATTACATGTATACCAATCACGAAAAACATATTAAATAAGTTTTTAGTTTAAACTTAAAATCCCCAAAAGTTGAACACCCTCGAACATAAAGAGGAAGCTGATTTCAATTTGTGCATTCGTGGTAACATACATTTTTCTCTTGCAGTTGAGATGAGATTTGAAAATTTTTCTAACCATCAATTAGTCGACATCCCCAAAAAACTGGGCACTTGAAAAAGTTTTTGTTCATTCTTTGCTGAAACCTTAAACTCTATCGTTTAAGCTGGGAATAGAGTAGACTATTTTAACAAAGTCACTGTTGGTATTATTATTAATTTTGTTCTCAGTATTTCGACGTTTCCACCTGCTTTGAACGTCTGTTGTTTGAACGTTTGTCTTACGAGGATCAATGTCTTTGCGTCTAAAATTACGTCACTGGTTAAGTTAACTTAGTTTTGTTTGTGTGGGGTTGATACCCTATTAATACAAGTCCAACTAGGTTCAATTCTTCAATTCAAGTCTTACACTGTAGATTAGATTAATGTAGATTTATGGAAAGAACATGACAAGAGCCAGTAACGCACGGATGTAAAAATCGAAATCATTCGCTAGAGTTTTACCCACTGCAAAACAACTTGATGAAGATTGCTAGCGAAATAATATAACAGGCGATGACTCAAAAAGAACCGCACGATTCTTGCTAGAACTGGATAAAGAAAAATTTACTTGATTTCTTTGCGAAAACAGCTTTTTTATACTATGTAGTGACATCAACTATCGTGTTTAATTATTAAATGTTTCTTTAAATATATGTAAAATATTGCCTTTCATTGAATTTTCTACATTTTGTAAATTTACTTTTCAACGATCAATCTTATCAGAAGCGCGTTGACAGTTCAGTGTTGTAAAACACACTTGTTGTACCTGTTGTCACATGGATGCGTTCTTTAATAAATTTTATCTGTCATAACATCGTTGTTATATTGCTTACAATTTTCTAAATAGAAAGGAGTGTGTATTCATAATGTTGCAAACACATGCTAAACGCTAATTCACGCTAAATAAATGTTAACTCACGTGTGTGTGTGTGTGTTTGTGTGTGTGTGTGTGTATTTAGCGAGGAGTAAAATATAATACTAAGCAAGAAAAATAACGAGTATTATTCTAGCCAAAAATGTTTTTAAACTCGATAAATCTTTTTTTCAAACTTGAAGAGAATGTTTTTTTTACAATATGAAAATGCACTTACTGGATCCTAATGGGTTAGTCACTGATAATAAACAAATTGTGTGTAAACATTTTAAAGTATTCAGGTACGTATGTATGAATGTATATATATATATATATGTATCTGTGTAGTATGAATGCATGAATGTACGTACCTATGTGTGTATGTGTGTGTATATATCTGCGTTTGCATGCATGTATGTGTTTCCATGTAACTCATCCATTCCATTCAGTGTTACCTGGAATTGAGAATTTAATTATGCTAAACAGGTGAGCAATGAGGAAAGTTTGAATCGTATCGCATTGTCGTTTGATTCTGTTCAAATGAATAAATGAATGAGCAAAAAACAAAGAACAAATTATACTTTTATATTTTGAAACTATCGAAATAATTCAAAGACTATTACAATTTATTTATTAATTGAATGAACGAATGAAATTTTGTTGGAAAATAATGGACACTTTCCAAGTTGAAATGGCACTTTTGTTAACTTGCTGATTGCAAAAATTAACTTTATCAGATCTTGTGGGCTGATTGGCTTCGATTGAATTAACATTCTAGGTTGATTGATTGATTGATTGATTCAGGTGAATGAGCTACATTAGAATGGTTGCCACAACTTGTTGAGTGATTAGCAATTCAAACAATCCTATTTGTACGTGCTGTGTGTTGATAATTTCATTTAACATCTTGAACTTGTACTATTGATATATAAGGATGCATGCAAATGTCCCTAGCACTAGTGTTGTTAATGACAGTATAGAATAATTACCATGATAAAATTCGACGCGCCTTAAAAATAAACCGCTGATGAATCACAGCTCCTGTTGGAATGTTTCATATGAAAAGATTAAATAAATTAAAAACATTTTTTTGAAATGATTAAGATGAAAAAATTTTAAAAACGTTTTAAAGTATGCATACGATGATAGCAAATGATCTGCGATCCTCCGTTTAATCAGATCTCCATTGAACTAAATTTATGATGTAGTTAAGTGAGTGTTGATGCGATGATTTATTTTGTTTATATTTTAAATGTTTTATCAGTAGGTGATGAAATGACTACAAGTTTTAATATTTTTGCGGTGTGCGAATTAAAAATTGTTCGAGATTAATGTTTAATAATAATCGATAGTATTTATAAGCAGGAAATAATTTTTGAGTTTTTTTAAATCGGTTTTATCGACATCAATAAGCAAACTGTCTGATACGTGGAGAGTGAATGATCCAATTCAAATTGATCCACTTCATAACCAACTTCACCATCTCCTCGCTCTCTCCTTCCTACTCATCGTCTCTCCTTTTTCCCTATTCGTTTCCATTCATCCATCCCATCATCACGGGCGAGCGCACGCGGGATGAAACGGTGATAATCCTTCATAAATTTAATAACGTTCAAGCTGCAGAAGCTCCATCATTCACGCCAACAATGATGAGGATGATTAATGCTTATAGCAAATCCATACATCGTCGTCAGCAACACCTATTTTGTAATTTCCACTTATTTGCATAACTTTCTTTATCTATTCATTCCCCTTCTACTACGCATAACGTAATGGCTTATCATACTTTCTTGGATGTTTACTGATGAAACTGTACGTATACGTACATATATAAACGCTCCTCGGTATGTGTGTGTATGTGTATATGTATGTGTGTGTGTATGTATGTGTGTGTGTATGTATGTGTGTGAATGTATGTGTGTGTACATTTTTGCTGAACGCACACGCTCATACAAATAAACTGACATTATGGTACTAT